TTTTTTGTATTTATATAATGTTTTAAATTATTAAAAATGGTTTTTGAAATTTTGTATTTAAAAAGTTTTTGCGTAAAATTTTAAAGATGTGACTTTGTTTATTTTATTTGTAAATGAGATTCCAAAATAAGATATTTCCTTTTTAATCATTATTAAAAAGATAAGAGAATATTCGATATTACATAATATATAGAATTAAAATTAAAAAAAAAAAGATTATTTGAAGAGATTTACTCAATTTTTGGGGTTGATCTGATCTTCTGATTAATTACTAAAAAAAAAAATTCACATGTACAAAAATACATGATGATCTTTTAATTTTTACAATATTCTCATTGTAACTTTTGTTGTATCTGTGATTAATAATCTATCAAAGAATAATATATCTAACTTATATTTATCATCTGATATTTCAAGTATTTTTAAATCATCTATCTTTTCTTCTGAATCAAATCTTACTTCTAAATGAATCTTATGATCTTTCATGTATTCATTCAAAACTTTAAAATTTTTAAACTCTTTATCAATGATAACATGATTAATTATATTCGAAGATATGAATAATAATTTAAATATATATGATTGTGTATGATTATCTTTAAAGATATTTTTGATTTGAAAAATATTCACTTCTTTTATATATGAAAGATACGGAAAAAGAAATAGATTTTGCATTTCTGAATTATTTTGTAAATAAAAACTAGTATAAATAAATTCTTTCAATGATTTGATTCCAGATTTAGTACAAAATTTAAACGGGTTTCTCCAAAGTATTGGAATGCCAATCTTAGCCCAATACCGAGATACTATGATACAATTCAATAGAGATTTATCAGTATTATCATAGAGAAAAGATAATATCGATGTTATTATTTCAATAGCAAACATGATTGATTTTTTTTTTAGTTTTAACATTTGAATATAAAATATTTATATAAATTATAAACATTTTGTTTATTTTTTTTACTCAATTTTTGGAAAAGATTGATGATCTGATTTATATCAAATCAAATATTTTTCTTTTTGGTTATTGATTATTGATTTGAATTTATTAGAAATATTTTTGTTTTACGAATAATTTATTTATTTTATTTGTTTTGTTTGATTACTAAAATCACAAAAGAATTTGTAATCGAAAGAAATTTTATCTATTTGTCCTCGCAGCATCTGAC